TTTAACTCTAAGTAGCTTCCAAGTTACTAATAAACTATTCTACTCATTAATAGCCTTACCCTTAACCAAGAGAAGGATCTATACTTAATAAGTTCTATTACCTCTTCTACACTATCCTGTTCTTCCCGAAAAACTTTTTGGTTTCTCCACATCCATATAGTCTATATGGTTGCAAACCATATCACTATTTGGTTTGCGAAAGAATTCCAAGAGTATAGTTAGGAATGAGGAAGGGCATGCATGCATTTCACAACTTTTGTGAAAAACATGATTGTATACTTTAATATTATGTTTGGTTTAAGAAAAACATTATATTTGGTTTAAGGAAAACAAAAAAGATAAGAGGGGAATTAAAGGATATTGTTTCCTTTCATTTCCACGACCTCTTCCCTTATTTGAGTAAGTAAAGGAATTAAAAGAAAAAATAAAGTATATGACTTCCCTCTCCTCCCTTTCAAAATTTGTGGTAACTAAATAAAGAAATTTTTTCTCCCCCCACAAACCAAACATACCTTAACATTAGAATCAATCAATAAGCAAACAAACAAGCAAATCATTTTATTAATATTTTTATGATCTTCAATCTTTTTCTATTAATTTTTAGTATTTTTCTTTTAAAATATTTTATTATTCTTTTAATTTTTAATTTCTCTTCTCATTTTTTATACCCAAACTCCTTTAGTCCATGGTATAAAAGTCTCTATACATTTATTTCTCTTCATTCTTTTCTTAATATGAGCAACTTTATTTATAAGGTAAGGTATACATAATATATATAAGGAAATAACAGTTAATTAGAAATATCATATCAATGAGAATATAATCAATATTAAATTCTTGAAACCAATTAATTAATAAATTGATTTCTCATTAATTGATAAATATTCATAATAGCATGATATTCCTTTCTTCTAAAATTAGAGAAATCATTTCTTGATTTTCTCTTTACTAGTTTCTTCCCTCAAGTTGGAGCACGGAAATTAAGTGTCCAATTGGCTTGTAAATCATCTCCAAGTTTGGTGTTACCTATTCTCCAAAATCTTCAACAGGCTTTTAGCTTGCAGAAAAAATTTCAAAAAAATGATCAATTGGTCTCCTCTGGTCTCTTTTGTTCCTGAAAGAAAATGTAAGTTTTTTTTTTTAATTATTTTTTTTAAAGAAGATGGCCAAATGGTGTCTTCAAAGTTTTTTTTATTTGGTTTTTTTTGTTATTCCTCTCTCTCTCTCTTTAAAAAAAGATTGGAAGATAAAAAGGTGGGAAAAAAGATGAAAAAAAACTAAAAACAAAAATAATCCAAAACTAAGTGAAGTTCTAAATTAACTTGCTCTATTACTATAAAGAAGTTTCTAATTATCAGTTATGTGGTTTGATGGTAGAGTTATCTGTACTCTTAGCTACAGATCTAGGGTACAATCCCTAGTCTCTACTTATTAACAAAAAAAAAAAAAACAAAGTTTCTAATAAGATAAAGAAATTTGTAATAGTAAAAATCTCATAAAATAACGACAAGAGAGTGGAAGACATAATATCATGCGATTGTAATAATCTCATGACATTGAGATATATCAACATCCCTTAGTTCATGGTAGGTTTTACACATTTATTATTTTTATTATTTTCTTACACATGAACAACTAGTAAAAGATACTTAACATAAAAAAAATGATAATTGATTAAAAAATTTTTATCAATAAGAATACAATCCATATTAAAATTTTAAAATCAATCAACTAATAAATTAATTTTTCCTTAATTAATCAATCTTCGTAATGATACGATGTTCATTCCTTGAATCAATTATTACTTGATTCGATCCACTTTACTCCTTCTGTGATAGCTCTATCCAATCTCCGTTCCCTTCTCTGGTTGCTGCTCTTAGATATGTTCTCTCGTTTTGCTTCGATCTTCTCCCTTTCGCTCGATTGTGAACTGGTATCTCCAATAGATTCGCAAATCAAGCTGCGCGCTAAGGTTCCTTGGGCTCTGCTCCGCAGCTGGCTAGAAGCTTAGAAGTTGAGGATGGGCTGTGCAGCGCGCGGTTGAAGAAGAAAGTTCAGGCTGATGGACAGGAAGAGGAAGGGGAAGGAGAAGAGATGAGTTAGGTCTGTAAAAGAGATGGGGGGTGGCAAACGGTGTGCAGCGGTGACGAGAGGATCAGTGAAAGCAAAGAGGGAGAAAGGAGAGTCGACGGCTGAGAACAAGGGTCCGGTTTAGGGACTTGTTTGAGCTTGGATCTTATGTTCGGAATTTGGATCTTGGGCTTGCTGAAGACTTGGACGTGGGCTTTTCTTTGGAATCGCGTCGGTTGGGCGCCTCTGTGCGCGGTGTTCGGCCCGTTTGTAGTCCGGTGTTTTCTCATGATCTTTCTAACTTTTTTTTTCATCTTTCACTCATCTACTTCCTTCACACAACCCCATCCTGCGTACATAGTACTTCTCATCTTTTCTTTCTCCCTTTTCGTTTCTTCTCTTTGTTTCCTCTACCACCCGCTCATTTCTCTTTGATTTGGTTGTGGTTTTCCCAATCTAGTCCTTTCTAGCTCTTCTTTGGGTTCCTTTCTTTTGCTGTTTGTTTCTCTAAATCTAAATGTGGTGGAGATTTTGTCACCGGAGAGATGTGGAGGAAGAGAAAGAAGAATCATTCATGTTTTGATATGAGCTACACAGCCATGGCATCATTGAAGAGGGATTAATTTCTTCAAAAAGTAGATTGATTGGAGTACGGTATGGATTGGAAACGCCTCACCTTGTGTCCATTTGTAGATATACTAGCTCTGCGACAGGTGAATGTTGTACATTTTTTTTCTTCTGTGGATATCATATTTGTATGGATACCAAGACTTTTATTTCTGAGATAAGTCATTTCTTTATTTTTCTTTTAAATAAAAGAAAATTAATATATATTAAATAAATA